TTCCAGCGCCGCGGGCAAGTGTGAGTGAAACACTAGAAGTGAGATTTTGCGATGTGATATTGAATGGCAATGAATTTGATTTGAAATTATGGTGTTGGAAACTATGGATTTGATTATGACTGAATTATGTGCATTAGAATTAAAACATTTTATATATTCGCGGTGTTAAACCATGAATAAACATAAAGTACATGTTAAGACAATGAAGGAAAACTTTTCCTTCCCTGACACTTCGCAGCTAGGGCAAACTCTCCCCTCAAGGTTTTCGCCGGCAAGCCTGTGGATTCGTCTCCCCTCTGCCTGTCATTTCGGCGATCGATGGTGGGAGGGGAATCCCGATACCTCCGCCCCGATTAGTAGTTTATGTTAGGGTTTTTAGTCTTCGCAGGTACGATGCTCGGGTGAATGGTGGTGCTTCTTCGAGTTTGTCTTCTGGGCTTCGATCCTCCTCGAATTCGTCCATCTGGACGTAGTCGATGGAGCTCCAGTATAGATTCCTGCATCTCCATGGAGCGGTGAGGTTAGGGTTTCTCATTGTGTAGCGAGATTTGGTTTCAGATGCTTCAGATCTATTCAAGGATTCAATAGCGACGACAGTGGCTCCAAGGCGCGCTGATCTTTAGGGACACGTGCAAGAAGACTTCCTGGATGTCATCAACAAGTTCAAGTCGGTCCTGATAAGGGAGCGGCCATATAGGGGCGTCGTTCTGGCAGCAGTAGTGGTTGTTTGATGGTGCTTTGTCCTTGCTCTGAACTTTCATAATAGATCTAGATCATTTTCGCAAGAAAAAAAGACATGCTGCAAAAAAAATAGGGGCTGCGAAATAGGGGTTGATGCTGGAGTTTGAGACTTTTTTGGGGGCTCAAGATTTGGGGACAGCCCAAGAAAGTTTTTTAGGGGGCCTGTTTTGGGCCATGTTTGTTTGGGCTTTTGCTTCTGTTTTTGCAGCTTTTCCAAAGTGGAAGCCGAAGCAAAAAAGCACCTATTTAGGAGCCTTTGTGGCTTTTTTGCCGAAGTGGAAAAGCTGCATAAGCATAAGAAAAGCCCAAACAATCAGGACCTTAGTGTCTACTGCTCGAGACTCTCTTACCTTGGTGCTCCAGGACATCTCTGATTTCACGGCAAGATGCTTGAGTAGCATAATCCCTCAAAGTCAAGCACGGCGGGCGGAGTCGCGGTGTAGCGACCGTCTCAGAAACCAAGGTGCTTCTGGGAATTCCCGGATCATTCAGCTTCTGTAAATAAATAAGAGATCAACGATTCATTGCATCACTAGTCAGAAGAGCGCAACATTCACTCCATCTTTTTAGAAAAGAAAAGAAGGATTCATTACCTTTCCCAGAGCACCGGCATTACGTCGTCTATAAGTTCCATCTCTTACCATCAAAGAAGAAAAATTGCCTGTCCCAGTAGTAGCATTGTTACTGAATAAGCAAATTAATTCAACCCACAGAAGCATCATGGGAGCAATGGCATCTCTTTGGAATACAATTTTGACAACACACAAGAGACAAAACGTCATAGGACACTAGCAAACCATGCTGGGGGGAAATGCACAACACAAGCAATGAGCCACAAAACGCAGCGGACAGGCCGGTTCTAGCTGATGCGGCAATCAAAGCAAAGTTAACTTCCCTTCGCGCCAGTTCGAATATTGCCTGCAGAAATCAGGCGGCAGCTTACAGGACTGATCGTTTCAAGTTATGGTTGGCCAGGACATGTTAATTCCCTTGTGGAGCGCATCACAAGCCCCATGCACAGCATACCGAATGGAAGGAGAACCTACAGCACATAATCCACTTCTGCATCGCAGCCAACATAAGCCTGACGGCCTGACCCTTCGATACCTGCAGCTGCAGAGCAACCAATGCCATCAGCCAGACTGATTTGTAATATCTAGTCATGGAAAAGCTGTTAAAGTTATCTCACATTTTTCCATGATTTAAATTGTAAACACCATTAGTTATCTCACAATGCAGCATGCTTTCGAATTATGGAAATTGTGCCAAAACAGTACAAAGAGAAAACACCAATAATATGAAATGTTTTCCCTACAAAAGAAATAATGTGAAATGGCACGCTGATATCAATTATTCACATTGAGGGAACAGAAAATAAATCGTCCTCAAACTTGAAAGACCCATGATCACAGGGGGGAAGAAAGCAATCTAGCAACTAGCAGAAACAAAACAAAAAGTACCGTTGAATGGGCAAGAAAAACATTTCATTTTGCTACTACAGACAGATATATAGATACCTGCCCAATCAACTCATTATGATAGCACTGGGCAAATCATATTATGTATTGTGCAAAAGTTTGGCTCCATCGCCTCCAGCACCAATATCCGCATCTACAACAATAAGAAGTCAATGAACCAATGAGATTCTAAGGCACAGTCAAATAGATGTGAGGGCGCATTAGGTTTTTAAATGAACACACATCTCTAATTTGAGTAAAACAATTTAGGTTTGATGCAACACTAAGAATAGATAAACTGAACCATATGTCATATCTACTACTCCCTCCATTCTGAATTACTTGTCGCACATATGGATGTATCTGGATGTATTTTAGTTCTAGATACATCCATTTCAGCGACGAGTAATTTGGAACGGAGGGAGTACTATACAGCACAAAGAATAGCCCAATAACAGTATTTACTCCTTCCAATTCACAATTAATATCTCTATCCCACAAAAGCATGTGTGGACTTAATTTTCATTACAATTCCAAAATTTGACATCTCAAACATACTAATTGAAAGTGTGGAATAAATTTTATATAGATCTGTCTCCAAGCAAGATATCTACTACGAGATACACAGATTTAGTCCTTGTTCAAGAATTCATCCGATTAACCAGTTAACTTGCCGGTTAATCCCTACTCGTAGGGTCACCAAGTAGCCGATTAACTGATTAATCGCCCGAGTAATTGATTAAATGGCCGATTAACTTGCCGATTAGCCTATTAATCCCCTACTCGTCAGCTAACCGAGCAGCTACCAGTTAACGATTTCCCCAAACAAACAACGTAACAAATTAAAATTGCCTTTGCACTTATTATACATAGTACTTGCCAATCAACCTCCAATATATTATTTCTGTGAATCTTGTTGTTCGTTTTGTTATTCTATTGGCATCCTGTCCAGTGTCCATATAATTAATAACCAGATAAGATGCTTGCTACCACCTGTGACTCAAACCACATAATTGAACAATAATAATCTAATAATAACTTGGTATTGTTTTACCTGCAGTATAGACCCCTTCAAATGGAAGACAGCAAAACCAGCGTTTAACTCTAAAGAGTTTCTTGGAGTGCAATGATTCAAGCTGGAGCGTGAAGACACCAACAGATGACCACAGTAACACCACATTGCTTTCCTCAGCGAACCCCGCGACAATTGAGCGCTCTCTCTCGTTGTCTGGATTCAGAGTAAGCAGCTTGTCCAATTCAATACTTCTTTCCAGCACCCATGAAGCCGCACCATCGCAATCCCTGTTCCACTTCCACAATTGGGCGCTGCAGCCTGGCACAACGAAGAAACCAAGCCGGCCACCCTCCGCCCGCACAACCAAGAAGTCGAAATGGGCCAGGTCTACTGGAAGATGTATCACACTCAGGCTCTGGCTACCAAATCAAACGCAAGGATGCCAGGACCATGAGCGAGCGACCAGTAACAGGAACCCTCGATGAGCACACAAGGATGGTTCATAGAAATGGAGGTGGAGCGATAGCTCATGGAAGCCTTGGGAGGGAGCGGTGTGGAGACGAGGTCACCCCATTCGCCGGTCGCCGACGAGTAAACGCAGGCGACCGCTCGTGTAGGCTCTATCTCGCTGTTGCCTACCAAGACAACCTGGAACTGGAAGTGGCCGGCAGCAGAACGGAGCACCGCCCCGCCGACCGAGTCGTCCTCGTCAAACCCTGGGGGGACGTCAAGGCGGTGCTGGTCGCCGGTGATGGGGTCCCACACCAGGAGCTGGTCCGCATTGCGGAGGAAGAGCACGAGGCCATGGCGGCATCCGAGGGGGTCGCCGGCGTGGATCGGGAAGGCGAAGCGGGCCTGCGGGACGCGGTTGGGGGCCTCCAGGATAGGTTGGAAGTGGATGGAGTCAATATCTTGGACGAAGCAGCCGAGGAGGGGAGGGTTGCGGCGGCGGTGGTGCGCGCGGAAGCGGCGGCAGAAGCGGGGCTCGGAGGCGAGGCGGCGCCAGCGCCTGCACACGGCCGAGGCGCGGGGGAGGGAGGAGGGCAGCGCGGGGAGGCGGAGGAGGATCTCGGAGAGGAGGTCGTCGTCGTCCAGCGGCGCCGGCGAGAGGGGGC